AGGCAAGAAGCAGCAGTAAGAAAGGAGAGACAGTGACCAATTGAACGTGGAGGAAGGGAGAAAAAAGAAGTCAAAGATTCCCAAGTCTGTAGCCTGAAGGATAAGGAATGTAGGAGATGACACAGGGGGGGGATGGGAATGGGTGGTATGAACTCGGAGGTGTTTGTGGCCACACGGGCGGCAATGTCCACTCGGCATCTGGATAAGAGTCAGTAATCAGATACAAGGTTAAGGCAGGAGGGAAGTCTGGAACTGTCAGCATTTATGAGCTAGCAGAAGACACTGTGATGCATACTATCACATAAAAGTGTGCAAAGTGAGATCAAGAGGAGGGACATATGGCTAACAATCCCAAACATTTAAATGGCAAAGAGGGAACAATGCTCAGGCTTCTCTACAGAGAAGGTATAGATGTTACCAGCAGCATGGAGATGAAGAGAATTAGAGTGTGTGAGGAGCCGAGATGCTAGTAAATGTTTGCTACCAATTACATACTATAGACTCTAGGTTGGAGAGTGAAGAAAGTATAGAAAGGATGGATTACTATAGAACTGCCAGATTTATTGAGAAAATTAAAAAGGAGCATCCAGTTAAATTTAAATTTCAGATAAATAAAGAGCATTTTTGGGGTGCCTGGGTGGTACAGTCAGTTAAGCATCTGACTTCACTCATTTCGTGATCTCACAGTTCATGGGTTTGAGTCCCATGTTGGCTCTGTGCTGACAGCTTGGAGCCTGGAGCCTGCTTCAGATTCTGTCTCTCTCTTCAACCCTGCCCTGCTCATACTCTGTGTCTCTCTCTCTCTCTCAAAAATAAATAAACATTAAAAAAATTAGAGGTGCCTGGGTGGCCCAGTGGGTTAAACGTCCAACTTCAGCTCAGGTCATGATCTCATGGTTCAGGAGTTTGAGCCCTGTGTTGGGCTCTTTCCGGAAAGCTCAGGGCCTGAAGCCTGCTTCAGATTCTGTGTCTTCCTCTTTGTCTGCCCTCCCCTTGTACTCTACCTCTCTCTCAAAAATAAACAAACATTAAAATAAAAAAAAAATGTTTTTAAAGATTATCTTTTTAGTATAAATACATCCCAAATTCTGTATGGGGCATACTTATGTTAAAAATTTATTCAGTGTTTATCTGAAATCCAAATTTAACTGGGTGTCTTTCCTATATTTTACTTGGCAATCATAATTAAGTAAAAAAGAAAGATCTAGAGTCTGTGAGTACTCTTGAGGTTGAAGGGAAGGAAATGGTATAGAGGAGTGAAGAATGTGAATATTTAAACACTGCAGTTTAGGATTTCAGAGATGGAAGAGTGATGAAAAGGATCAAGGAAGGTCTACTTTGGTATTGAAACAGATGGAAATGCAAGTCCAAGAAGAAACACTGAGGCAAGAATACTGGATGGCTCATTAGTGCGGACACTGAGGTCAACAAAAATGTTAGCTGAAGGGTAGAGGGCATGAACATGAGAAAAGTATCTAAGTCTTCATTAAGTTTGGCAAAAGGATCAGGAAATCAGTGAAGGATGGTACAGCCATACCACAAAAATCTGATAGAAGGGAGGGCTTTTGACATGACACTGAAAGAGTACAAATAACCTGAAACTCTGTGATGTAGAACCGAGGAAGCGATCCCCACCTCAGAGAGAAGGAACAAGTTTTCTGTTCTTTTTAGAGAGTGAGTGGAGGAGGGGGAGGAGAGAAGGAGAGAGAGAATCTTAAGTAGGCTCAAGACCAGCATGGAGCCTGATGTGGGGTTTGATGTGAGACCATGACCTGAGTTGAAATTAAGAGTCGGACGCTTAACTGACTGAGCCACTCAGGCACCCTGAGAAGGAACAACTTTCAAATGTACAGACTGTGTCCTCAAGGTTGCAAACAAGATGGAGAAGCAGGGTATATGATGGTATGTTTTCAACAGAGCTTGTTATAGAGGAGAGGATGCAAAGGTGTGGGAAAGATTATCAGTGGGTTGACAACAACAAACAAAAGAAAAAGAAATGGGGATGAAAAGAACAGGAACAAACAAGGAAGGAATATAGTCTTGACGGGGAAGAAAAGGTAGGCTTTAAAAAAAAATTTTTTTAATGTTTTCTTTATTTCTGAGAGAGAGACAACGTGAGCAGAGGAGGGTCAGAGAGAGAGGGAGACACAGCATCTAAAGCAGGCTCCAGGCTCTGAACTAACTGTCAGCACAGAGCTCAACGCGGGGCTCGAACCCACGAACCAGGAGATCATGACCTGAGCTGAAGTTGGACGCTTAACCGACTGAGCCATCCAGGCGCCCCAAAAAGTAGGCTTTTCTAAACAAGTGAGAACTGGTTTAAGCTGAGATCCAAAGGATGTGACTTCTCACCAGCATCTCATGTTCATCATGTCCAAGGTCAAGGAGTAGCCCAAACTTGTCACTTTTCCAATATTTTTTAGCTCAGTGAATGGTAACACTGTCCATCAAGTCATGCAGGTTAGAAATATTGGAGGCATTCATGATATCTGCCTCCATTATGCTCATTATCCAAACCATCACAGAAGCATCAGGTAAAGAGAAAAGCATTCCAGGCAGTGGAAAATACATATGTGATATTTTTAGGCTGAAAGATATTCAAGTGCATTCTAGATATTCTAGTGCACTCTAGAAACTAAAGAGTTTTTACCTTGATACAGAAGAAGGTCCTAGATCATGATATGTCCTGTAGATGATATTAAGGATTTGCTCTTTATACTAAAAGGAATGGAAGCCATTGGCAGGTGTGAAGCAAGGAAAGAGCCATTATCATATTTAGGTTTTGAAAAGAACATTCTGGGTAGAATGGAGAACATATTTGAGAAAATAAGAATATAGGGAGATCACAGAAAAGTTCAGTGTAGTCATCCCGATGAGAGGAGGCAGTACTTTGAGTAGGGTGACAACAATGGATGTGGAGAAGAGTGGATGGTTTCAGTAAGGTAGCAGAGATTAAGCCAACAGGAATCGGTGATAGTGGTGGGAATTCTTTCCTAATGTTATGAGGAATGATCTAATTGAAAGGGAATGGCTGATTACACAGGAGAGAAAACAGTTAATTGAACCCTGATAACACATAACTGAATTACCTGGAAAGATCTTCCTCCAATTGCAAAGTGGAAGGAGTCCATGAGATCAAGGGGCCATGTCTGCCCACATGAGAGGACAGACAGAGCTGCTGATTACACATCACTATCTGCAGATAGTGAAGGATGTGGACATAAGCTTGGACATGTTGAATGCACACATGCATGGTCTCTTCTGGAGTGGTGGGTGAAGAAACTGGGAATGGGAAGAGAATGGGATGCATTGGGATGCATCTGAGAATGCTAGAAATCTGAGAATTCTTTTTTTTTTTTTATTTTTTTTTTTTTTAATTTTTTTATTTCTAGGAGAGAGAGAGCGAGAGAGACAGCGTGAGCAGGGGAGGGTCAGAGAGAGAGGGAGTCACAGACTGAAACAGGCTCCAGGCTCTGAGCTGGCAGTCAGCACAGAGCCCGACGCGGGGCTCGAACCCATGAACCGCGAGATCATGACCTAAGCGAAAGTCGGACGCTTAACCGACTAAGCCACCGAGGCGCCCCATGAAATCTGAGGATTCTAAATTTAAATCTGGCCTTCCAGATCATTATTTTAGTAGATATGTCAAAGAGTAGAGTGGATTACATTTTTTATTTTTATTTTTTTTAAGATTTCATTCTTTAAGTAATCTCTACACCCAACGTGGGACTCAAACTTAACAACCTTGAGATCAAGAGTTGCACGCTCCACTGACTGAGCAGCCAGGTGCCCCAGAATATATATTTTTTTATGATAGTTTGTTATCTTGATTTATAACTTAAATATTTAGACACATAGTATGTGAGCCTCTAAGCCACACTTGCCCAAGCTCTGCAAATTTAAGGTTAGGACTGGTAAGAATGTCTAACAGTATAAAAGACTATATATAGCGCAAGCAGAAACAAATTCCTGAAGGCCAGAGTACACTGTAGCTGGGCCTTTACAAAGTTAGATGTTCTAGACTTCTAAGTGGGAGAAAAGAAAATAAATGGCACAAGTTTCCAAGTATCCTATTAACATACATAAGAGACACATTTATGCATCTGGAAGGTCAACAATTAAGAGGCTATTCTAATTGCAATGGTTTCAGTGTGACTTTGTAAAAGCTTGAATATGGCAGAAGTTTAGCACATGGAAGAGACCTTAGAGGTAATGAAACTGAATTTACTCCAGTAAAATATAAGTTCTGACAGATAAACCATTGTGACTGAGGTCTCAAAGCTGATGATTTCCAGCCCCATCCTCTCTGTCCACTTTTCTACCAATGTTACTTTTCGTGAAGACATATGCTGACACTCGATTCTAGTCACAAAGTTTTCATTTTCTTTCACTGATATGTATTAAAGGAAGTAAATACTTTCATTATTTAAAAAATTTGAGGCACCTAAAAAAAGGACCATATTAAATTTTGACTCCAAAGTATTCTAAACAAACAAAAAAGGGAAAACAAAAAAAAGTTCCAACTTCATTTGGCCACAAGAATTGGTAATCCTGGAAAGTTACTTTTAAGTGTTTTCCAAAAACTTACAGGTTAACTTGGGCTCCTCTTAGGATTTAAGAATATTCTCCGACTGCTCATTTCCTGAATTTGACTACTTTTATTTTTACCTCTGTTCCTTTGACTTGTTAATATCATGTCAGAGTTACAATCTTACAACCGTATTACTGTAACTCATCTCCCCCAATTCCTTACCTTCTAAGCTATAAATCAAAACACACGATTATACAACATCGAACACTCCGGGTGCTAACCGCTATTTTACAAAAAAAAAAAATTAAAAATTAAAAAAATACTTGCTTTTCAAACATCGATAAATGTCACTAACGGAATTTTCTTAGCAAGTTTCAGTTGTAAGAGCTGCAATAAAATTAAGGTTTTTACGGGTGTATCATAAAAGTTTAAAAGAAAAACTCTCCGCGGGGGGTGTGGGGGGTCTTACCTTCAAGCTCGGAAGTAATCCGAAAGTTCTGGGTTTGCAGGAAGTTATCTCTCTCAAAGCATTAGAGCTGACGATTTTAGCAACAGTAACGAATCTGGTCGGGACACCAAGTGACTTTTGGTCCCACCCATCCAACTGCCTAAAGAAGGAAGGACTTAATTCCGCATACAATTTTCTCCCCTGAGCTGAGCATCTGAGAAACTCGGATATCTGAGAGCGAAGACACAGGGACGGACCAAAGGGACTCCAAGATAAAAAGGAGGAGAAAGTGATACAAAAACAAAGTAGTCTAAACGGAGACGGGTGCGACCTAGGCCGGGGCAGATTTGGGGGTCCATTCCAAACACAGGACACTGGAGTTCACGCTGGCGACAAGTGAAGACCCTCCCCTTACAATTCGCTCCGCCAGTAAGCCGCGCCCCGCGGAGCTTTGACCTCCAAAAGTGGTCCGCTTGACAATCCCGCCTCCTAGGCTCCAGATCCGTGCCTTTGGTTGGCTCCCAGAGGGATCCCTCAGCATAGTTCGTCCAATGGAGGGCTTTACCGGTGGCCGGTCCGCTCCGCCCCTCCCCCGCCCCTCGCTGAGGGCCCGCCCCTCCCCCGCGCCCGGGAGCCGAGGAGAGTAAATACAACAGGAGCGCAAAATGGCGGAACCGCCGAGCCCAGTGCACGGCGCCGCCGCCGCCGCCGCCGTCTCGGAGAAAGAGCCGTTTGGCAAATTGCAGCCCCCCTTCCGGGACCCACCGGGTCCTCTGTCGGCCAAGAAGGTCCGGACTGAGGAGAAGAAGGCGCCGAGGAGATTGAACGGAGAAGGAAGCAGCGGCGGGAACAGCAGGCAGCTGCAGCAGCTGGCGGCACCTTCGCCTCAGAGCTATGGCAGCCCTGCGTCTTGGAGCTTTCCCGGTCTGTCTGCTGCCCCCTCCCCGTCCTCTGCTCGGAGCAGTTTTTCTTTTTCCGCTGGCACCGCGGTCCCTTCGTCAGCCTCTGCTTCCTCGTCTCAGCCGGTGCCGCGCAAATTGCTGGTCCCTCCTACGCTGCTGCACGCTCAGCCTCACCATCTCTTGCTCCCGGCCGCCGCCTCCTCGGCCAACGCTAAGCCGCGCCGACCCAAGGAGAAGCGAGAGAAGGAAAGGCGGAGGCACGGCCTCGGCGGGGCAGGCGAGGCCGGCGGGGCCGCCCGGGAGGAGAACGGGGAGGTGAAGCCGCTGCCGCGAGGTGGGTGCCGGCGCTGGGGGAGGGGGAGGGGAGGGGAGGGCGCCCCGGGTCCCCGCCACCTCCTCGCGCCTGCGGGGCCGGGGCAGGGGGACTGCGGGGGCCGGGGGCGCCAGCCTGAAGGGGGCGGGAGGCGTCCCATTCTCGGCGGGCGATTTTGCCTCCCCTTTGGGGACAGGAAATGGAGCCTGTAATTTCGGTGGCCTCGAGGGGAATGCCCGAAACTCATTTTTAAACATTGTTTCTATCTCCCATTTAATGCGCTGCAAGATTTGTAGAATCCGGTCTAGAGTACTCGCTTAGGTGTACTGGACTACGGAGGGACGTGGGAGGGGAGGGGTCGCGAAGGGGTTGGTCTTGTAAAAGATCTTTGATTGATTATTAGACTGTTTATACGTGGTCACGGAATTCGTATGTGTGACACAGGCTCCAGCGCCAGAAAATCCTGTCAAAAAAGGGGTGTGGAGAGCATTGGCGTCAGCTGGAAGCTACCAGAGGCCTGAGCTTTTCATCCCTATTAGGGAAATGAGGTAGTTAGTGTGCAAGGGCCCGAAGTGTGCTGTTTCGTAAGGTGCTCTCCGCACCGCTCCGTATTCTCAAGTGCTTTCTGGGGTCCTCTTTGGAATACCACCACCCTTCGGAAAGAATTTTCAGCCATATTCTTTTTTTTCCTGCAGCAAATGATAAAATCAGGAGCGTTGACGTTTTTTGGCCAGATCAAGTGACTGCAAAATGTTTTAACATGAGAAAATGGCAAATTCATGAGCGTCCGTTTCAGACAGGGCTAGGCAGTTTTCTTTTAAAACGTAAGCTAGCTATATAATTTTCCGAAAGTATTTATTTAAAATAGATGGTCCTACTTGTTTAGTTATTGATATGCAGTTGATCTGACAGTGGCACAACATGGAGACTGGTTGAAAAGTAGATCTTCGTGTGACCATAAGGATATAATGATGTTTATTATAAATATACGTTGAAAATGTACTGTGAAAGTATTACTGGTTTTTAAGGAAAAATGACATGTCAGGCAGTTTTAGCATTGCCGATCGAACTGTAGCTTAAATCATGAGTAAATTCTGTTTGAATTAGAACGGCTGTTTTCACAATTTTTAAAAATGCTGCCCAGGAGTATGTAGCAGCGTAACACAGGGTTACTTCTTCCCTGCTGTTTTGCCTATAGCAAAGCTTTGACATCTAAGCATAGCCATCAAGTACTGTGGCACTGAATAAAGTTCTCTCAGTTTTGGACTGTGTCGCTTCTAGGAAAGTGGTTTTGAGGATGGAATTTATAGTACTTTTTAGTTCTGGAATTTTAGGTGGTTAGAATTATAAAGCTGTTTTGTTTTAATGGTTACCTTTAAGTTACAAGTGCCTGAAAGTCTGTGCGTGTGCAGCTTGGTATTAGTCATATTTGTGATGTGTAAACAATGTATTTGTTCTTCTAAGTTCTTTGAGGAAGTGAACGTGGGGTATAACATTTGTCAGTGTATTGGAATGGCTGAAAATAAAGAAGTAAGCATTCTTTCACAAGTCTAGCTTAAAATATGGAGCATAAAAATGGCCCTTAAAGTGAAATGGCTGTTAAAGAGAAATTTCTATAGTTTTTTACATTTAGAACCCTCCTTTTGAAGGCTATGGCTTATATTATGCCTTAATATGAGGAATCATAGCTTCTATTTTAAAACGTGCAGAACATATTTTTCCCTGACTTATGTGGGTTTTATTTATTTTTTTGCATATTACTAGACGTAAACACTCTTGTAAGATTTTCATTTTTTTGAGAGAAATACTGCCATTTTACTGAGAAAAAAACTAAAAGAAAAGGATTTTTTTTCAGTGTCTTGATAAATTTAATGGTGAAAATTTTTCCTTCTTAATTTAAGAAGTACTCCTTCTCACGTTCAGATTTAACAATCCAATTTGTTTTAATCAAGACAATTTTTTTAGTGTTTTTTATTTTTTAAAATTTTTTTAAAAATGTTTTATTTATTTCTGAGAGAGAGAGAGACAGCAAGACAGTGTGAGCAGGGGAGGGTCAGAGAGAGAGGGAGTTACAGAATCTGAAACAGGCTCCAGGCTCTGAGCTAGCTGTCAGCACAGAGCTGGATGCGGGGCTTGAACCCACTAACCGTGAGCGGATGCTTAACCGACTGAGCCACCCAGGCGCCCCTCGAATAAGAATATTTTTAAGCAACTGTTATTAAAATAGCAAGATTACATACATCAATCAATATAAATATAATTGCAAATGTGAAAGTCCTAATTTGTAATCCAGCTCTCATTTCTATGAGCTTTATATAAGAATCTTAGTGAGTGGATGGAGGTGGGGCGCCTAGTTGCCTCAGTCCGTGGAGCATGTGATGTATGATATCAGACCTTGAGTTCAAGCCCCTTGTTGGGCTTAGAGTTTACTTTAGAAAAATCTTAGTGCGCAGGTAGGTCTATTGTGTTAAATATATAACTTTTTCTAGCGTTGCTCTAAGTTAGGTAGTTCATGGATAGCACATAGTTCAGTGACCCCAGTTTTCCCATAGCTCCCAGATTGAACAATCTGAATTAGAACAGGAAGTGAGTTATAAAGACACCTAGCAAAGAAAATAGAACCTTCCCTGAAAAAGCAAACAATAACAACAAAAAAAAATCAAAAAAATCTAGCCCCCAACTCTATTCACCAGTTAAGTTCCTGTATTTTAGTAGGGTTTTTTTTTTAAGTCTTTAGTGAGAACTGCTAATTCTGCTAATTTTTTTTTATTGGCTACCATTCTAACAGGAATTATGTGGAATAAATGAAACTGTGTATAAAAAGGCTTGGCAGGCCATTTAGTCAGTGTTATTTGAGTCAGAAACATGATGATTTGTTTTTTAACCCCATGACAAATTAAAAAGTGAATTAGTCCAGACAGGGAAAGATCATTGACAGTGGATTTGAAAGTTAAGAGTGATAAACAACAGAATTACAGAGATGTAGCGGTTTAAGCCCATTTAGCATTTAGACACCTAAAACCTGTGAGGCCATTTAGTCATAGTGCGTAGCTGATTTCCATCATAGCCTGAGTCATCATGTAAAAGTTAAATTTATTTCTTATAAAAAGGAGATGTGCAAAACATTTTAGTTTTTTAAAACTAGAAAATAACCAGATTTGGTGGATATAGAGGTAATCTACTGAAGAATTCACAGCCCATTTTCCTGTAGGATTGAATAAATTTTTGAATTGGTAAATGTGGAAGGTAAAAAACAGATATGTGCTGGAGGTATCTGACATTTAGAATGATATTCTAGCAAATAGTGGAACAAACATGTTATTAGATAACAAAGTGCCTTAACAATTCCAGTAACCAATAAAACGTGTATAGGCCTTCTAATTTTTGTCAGCGTTTTTGCTTTGCATTTATTAACTTATTTTTTTTCTATAGAATGATCCTGTGAAGTATCCCAAGATAAAACCAGAGCATTTCACAGAATGTTTGCCTTGAAAGTATAGTTACAGAATTTAACTCTAAATAAAATAGAGGTTTTTTAATAATCAAATAATTATTTTTGTTTTTATTTTATTTTATTTATTTTAATATTTTTATTTTATTTCTAGGATAGAGTAAGAGACAGCGTGAACAGGGGAGGGTCAGAGAGAGAGGGAGATACAGACTCTGAAACAGGCTCCAGGCTCTGAGCTGGCAGTCAGCACAGAGCCGACGCGGGGCTCGAACCCACGAACTGCGAGATCATGACCTAAGCGAAAGTCGGACGCTTAACCGACTAAGCCACCCAGGTGCCCCTTTTTGTTTTTATTTTAATTCCAGTTAGCGTACTGTGTTCTATTCATTTGAGTTATACGATGTAGTGATTCAACAATTCCATACATCACCCAGAGCTTATCACAGTGCCCTCCTTAATCCCCATCACCCACTTAACCCCTCTCCCTCTCCCCTCACCTTTGGTAACTATCAGTTCTTTACAGTCAAGAGTCTGTTAGAAGTGAATAATTTAAGGTATGTGAATGTTAGTGATTTAAAAGGATAGATGTTGGAAGACTTTTCAAACTATACTTTCCCATATCTTTCTAATATTGTTAATTCCACAACTTTAGATTCACAGTTTTCATCTTTATGACCAAATATTTGTCACTGCTGAAATAGTTTACTGTGATTTCATTTTCTAATATTAT